AGAAAAAAGGCGAAATCTACAAAAGAGTGGGGAGATTTGCCATGCAGTCAAATCGCGCGTGATTTGAGCCCCGCTTAATGTGGTTGTTGAGCATTTCGTCAAGAATCCTGCAGCATGTGGAATCCAGAAGAGCACTGAACCCTTTTCTTCGCGTTTCAGTTGCGATGACCGTAGTGTTATGGGAAAAGCAGCCGATTCTCCCAAGGGGTGCTCAGGAACTCAACCTTCAAAAAAACCTAATTTCTTGAAAGTCACCGTTTGGCGTGTGTTAGAAGAACTCTGAGACCACTCTTCGACGGAAAATGAGTATGGCACAGTTGAAGACACAAAGCCATCCCAAAAATCAAGCCAACTCTTCCATAATGTGTGCATGCTGCGCCAGCTGCATTAAGTTCGGCTTTCTACACGCTACTTTTTACTGTCTGTCTGAATTTCTCTCAGTTTTTTTTTCTGCAGTGTGTTTGGCAGAGACAGGAACTCATATTGAAAAAGGAAACCAGTAAGAAAAGTGAAGACAGCCATCAAAAGGTACTGCGCGGCCAATATGGCCTCGCTCCATCGACCACTGATCTTGGGAAACTTGGCTTGATTTTTGCGATGATTCCGGATTTTTAAATGTGTCCTACTCATTTTCCGTTGAACAGTGGTCTCAGAGTTCCTCTAACACACGCCAAACGGTGTCTTTCAAGAAATTAGGTTTTTTTGAAGGTTGAGTTCCTGAGCACCCCTTGGGAGAATCGGCTGCTTTTCCCATAACACTACGGTCATCGCAACCGAAACGCGAAGAAAAGGGTTCAGTGCTCTTCTGGATTCCACATGCTGCAGGATTCTTGACGAAATGCTCAACAACCACATTAAGCGGGGCTCAAATCACGCGCGATTTGACTGCACGGCAAATCTCCCCACTATTTTGTAGATTTCGCCTTTTTTCTGAGCCCGACAGCGGTGTTACTTCCGTCATCACCTAAGAAAGAGGAAGTGGAAACAACCTGACAGTTACCCAAATAACAATGAAGTTCAACCGAGAAACATGGGCTGGATTTATATTTTTGCACAATCGGCAAAGGGGAGTCCCTTTCGAAAATCAAATAAAAATTTCGTATTTCCCCGAAAATTGAATTGGTTTACACTGATAAATTTATATTATATTTAGCAATTTTTCCTTCAGAGGCTTTCAACACCGCTTTCGTGCGCCATTCAAGAACTTCCAGGTGATAATTTTTCAACGCAGGTATAGCTACAAATATGCGGTCGAGGGGTCCATAATCTTCCATTACTGTAGACTTGTTTAGCTTGTCATGTTCTGAACCCAGCGGTATACACTTCAGAGTTTCAAACAGGTCATGTTAAGCCGCACCAGTCATTTTGTTACGTAACGTGTTTGTAGGTCAAGAGATTGAATCTGTGCAGGAAGCTCTTATGGAGAAGACGAAAGCCTTAGGAAGTAAAATCAAAGAGTTAATCCCACTGCCAATTTATGCAAATCTGCCGTGATCTACAAGCAAAAATTTTTGAACCCACACCACCTAACGTAACCTACAGTGAGAATCTTTTTTTTCATTTGCTTAATGATTGTTCGCTCAAAGCCTTCATCTAGGTAATTTCTCCGCACAAATAACGGCCGAAACAATCTCACCATCTACGGTATTGCTATGTCATGATCCTGGTTTTTTCCAAAACAAAATCTGTTGCAGCGCGAGTGAATCGAGCACCTCATGTGGTACGACATCGAAGGTCCACTTGTCAGCTAGAATTTTTCCATTTCTAAAGTTTTTCTCTACGATTTGTCTTAGGCTTCAGCTAATCAGAGAGCTGGACGGGCGGGACGAACAGGTCCAGGGAAGTGCTTCCGTCTTTACACAGCCTGGGCGTACAAGCACGAGCTTGAAGACCAACCCTATACCTGCAGATGTTTCACGAAAATAGGTACCTGGATACTCTAGTGCTTTTTCTGAGTTTCAGTCGAAGTCGGGTCATACCATGGAAAACACTATTTCTCAGAACGTTCTTTTTGCTTATAATACTGACGTAATATTTGTTTGAATTTCGGGTCGATACCCGGCAAACGACCGAGATCTCAGAACGTTCTTTTTGCTATACTACGAACATGTTGCTTATTAGTCCCTATTGTTACTTTACAATTTACCTCTCCCCCAATTTTTATACCTTTTTCTGAAAATTCCTGGGTTCATTGCGCAAATTCGTATGTGTGTACCAAATGCCATCAAAGTCGGGCTGGGAGCTACAGATCCGCCAACCAAACTAACATTGCTTTTGTTAGAGGGAATACTACCGTTTGGAATGCTCACCGGTTCTCCTCAGTTTTCTTAAAAGACAGTGAAGTTTTTGAAAGGATGCCTGCAATCGTATTCAAAAAGATGGCCCTAGTTAAGCCAGCTGAGAAGGGGCTGCACCAGACTTGTGTTGAAATGGTAGATACTTTCACTGTGATGGACTGATGATGCGCAAACATTCCTATGAATTCGATTCCCAAAATTCTGATAAATGTGCTCACCTGCCTCTCACGCGCGCTCAAAAAGGGTGCGTTTTTGACCCTATGTTGCAAAAAAGTCTCCGTAAAAAACTGCCCACTTGGGCTGATAAGTTCTAATTTTTCTGTCGTGCAATGCAGACCCTACGCTAACCAGCTGTATACTTACTTTGTCCAGGCCTTACTTTTAGCAAGTAAGAGGGATGATTTATCAGAGGATGTCAAAACCGACCTGCCTCTCCTTTTTAACTCAAAAAATTCCGAGCTTGGATCGTGCAAGGTTTCCACTCAAACTGTTAGATGAGGATTCTAGTAAGTCATTTTGTGATTAAACCAATTCGCTACATGGGTTATGAACTGAAATATTTCTAGTCCAAAACTCTATGGAAAAAACGACATAAGAATCCGTACCTAATAGCTTTGTAATCTACAGTTCGATCTGAGTCTATTTAGCGTCCAACGAACAACTGGGTAACTTGGAGGATGCTTAAATCGCTAGGAATCAGAATCTCGTCACTTCGATTCTCGATCCACCTCTCAAGTAGGTTTAATGTTTTAATTACCGTTGTGCCATTCTCTTACGAGTTTTGTTATCCTGTCAGACACGCTGGATAACTGCACGCAAGAAAACTGTAGCGCTTGTTGCGGCTTAATCAAGCGAGCCAGTTGACCTAAGTGGACGGGCGCAAGGCTAATTTCTTGGTGATCCAGGAGAGCAAAATGAAATCTCCAGCGAACAAGTCAGACATTCCTAGTGTAATTAACTGTATTGCAATGAATATGATACTTCAGGTACGGAGTCGAAGAAATCCCACCATTTGTGCGATGTTGTCTTCATACGCGGCTGTTAATAGTATCTAAAAACTTTATAGCTATAATCTTTCAATTAATAAGGTTACAGTACAGGCTCCGCATCATATATGCACATCTAATCGAAATCTTGAGCGAAGTGCACTATTGGTTGTCGTCATACAAGTTGTAAGGGGTAAGAAATAAACTTTAGACCAACCGGAGATGATATACATGCGGACCAGCAAAAACGTTTGAGCCTGCTAGAGTCACATACCTATGAATGTGTAAACAAGGGAGAAACAAATTATCGCAGCAATTGAGTGATTTCCCTTTAGCGCTATCATACTTCATCCTTACACACCTTGCATTCGTGCACCCCATGAGGGAGCTAATTCTGCATGCAATAGAATCCCGTAGTAGCTCAAGGTGCCAGCACCCCAATTTGTCAAATATGAAAGCCTTCGTGTCCATACCTGTCAGGAACTAGCTAGAGTGTGTTGCTTACTGTTTTTTTTTTTGAATTCCTCGCTTCTCTCTCAAGAGAACGTTGCGACACCATCAAATGACGGCAGCCTCCAGAGGAGTAGGTTTATAGAGTGAGTCAAGTGTAAACGGCATGGAGAAATTGGGCAACACGAACCACTGAAGAAAGCAAGGAGATTCGCGCACTGGCATGACTCCTAGCGAAGTCGTAGATTGAGCCTGTAAGTTTTAAAAGCTAACTGGTAACTCCGCGCTGGCAGTAAAAGGTCAGTTCATGTGCTCAGCACATATGCATCATTCCTGTGTGTTCGATACAACCGGTTCCGATCGATTCAAGCGTTTTCAGAAATCCAGTTCCTGCACCATTGCTATTCGAAAAGCTATCACAGCTGGATATTTCTATAACTGTTCAAAACTTGACAATTCTGGTTAGATTTTTCTTTTCACTCACGGTCTTTTGTTTTTCACTTTGATATATGTTAAACTAGCTATACGGTACAAGTATCAACAACCAAAATAGGTGCAGACGCTTCATACTGAAAAGCGCTTGCTCATCAAACTGCTGGCTTCATCTTCCTGCAGCTCCACTATAGTAACAAAGGGTGTGGTTCACTAGGACAGAAAGCGACTTTTCGCGTTTCGCAGCGCGAAACATTTTTCGCTGCGGGAACCTCAGGTCCACCGCTGATCATCAGTGGACCTGAGGTTCCCGCAGCGAAAAATGTTTCGCGCTGCGAAACGCGAAAAAGTCGCTTTCTGTCCTAGTGAACCGCACCCGAGAACAAAGTTTGCCCGAGTATTCAATTCAGCGATCATGATGGCTGGAGGGTGGTGCGGTTTTGCTATTAATGGACGCCACTGATAGAAGAAGGTTATTAGGTGGTCTCAATCACACGCCAATCGCGATGAGGGGTCTGTCCACCAATGACGTTCAGTGATGTCATCAAACCGCAGCACCCTCCAGCCATCGTGATCGCTGGATGCCACATTCGATCGGAATCACGAGCGACCGCCTAATCTGTAATGATATACAATTCTCTTTACATATTCAATAACGATAGACCTATAATATGGTGCCAATGTGCTTCCTCTGACTTTCCCATCGTGAATTGCAGGGCATTACAAGACAGTGAAGCATAAGCATACCGTTCACGTCCATCCGAATTCGTGTCTGTTCGAAGAGTTGCCAAGATGGGTGGTTTATTACGAGCTCGTGTTCACTAGCAAAGAGTTTATGAGAGAGGTGAGTCAAAATATATTCTCCCTGGGCTTCATGAGTGTAGTGGTCTATTTTGTGACATTAAAATGCTTTATTGCAGATTTCTCAAATAGAAAGCTCTTGGCTTTTGGAGGTCGCTCCTCACTATTATAAAGGACGTGAGCTAGAAGACGCGAGCAACAAAAAGATGCCTAAACAAAGAGGAAAGTCTGCACAAGAATTGCATGGGTGATTCGTGGAAGACTGTAAAAAGTCTCACTCCTAGAAAACGGGTTTCTGATTGTTTCACGATATTGATGCTGTTCTATACTGTTGTTGTTGTTATTTTGTACAGGTTATACTTGTAAGGTGAACGGATGTATCTTTGTGTTATTGTCATGTTTACCGTGCACTTTGGGTTCCGTAATAACAGATCTTTAATTATTGTAGTACAAATTCCAACTCAACTAGCGTCCATAATTCGCGGATTTTTACTGTTGGGCTTATCCAGATTAACTTTTTGAAGCGATTTTTGGAAGAGCTATAACTATATGTAAAGTATTGTGACAAGAGGGTTGGCCGATCGGGTGTCCATACTTCCATGCAACTTTTCTTTTCCGCGCTTTCGACTATGATCAGTTGCGCTCATTGTATACTTTTCCAAAATCAGTCTCCATCATTTTTCTTGCGTTTCGTACCTTCGTATACTTAATCGCCCTCAAAGGCAGCGATTACGATAAGGAAGGAAGCGCATCGGGGAAGCATATGCACACACACGAAGCAGTTACTTGGCTGCCAAGGGAAGCGAGATGTGGCGCTTTCACGACGAAAGGTGCGCTGGTTGCTGAGCAGGACTTCGAAAGCACTCCGCCCCCAAAAGCGATCCGCCCACTAGTTCTTGGTGATTTGGACGAGCTGCGTTGCCAGCAGCGGCACAACTGGAGCATCTCGATTAAAGCGTGGTTTGGCATGGTGCCACCAAACGCGTTGCGGTGAACTCGTTCATACGTCCGCTTTCTGAGCTGTTACCTGTTCATGAGTGAAAACCAACGGCCAAAAAAGGGGGTCCCGTTTTGCGTTTTCTTGACGGATTTCTCTGCTTTTTTCGCCACTGGCGTACCATTGAGCACCACCACGTCTCCTCTAAACCCTTCTTGAAGCTATCGTATTCGCTACCCTTCAATTCCTTCACAGTCTGATTTCTTTTTTCTCTGTCTGCCTCCTTTTTCACTTTCGTTTTTCATTTCTTGAATCTTTTTGTGCCTTTCTACGCTATTCTGTGCTTGGCTAGAAATTGTTTCCCGGATTCATATTCCGCAGCCGATGCAAACAACATTTTGATGAGCTCAAAAAAAGAAGTCGCGAAGTATTAGGCCGGGGTCAGACTTGTTGGAGCCAGCGAATCGCGGGGTAGAGCGATGCGCTAACGTTTCGATGGTGGATCAGGAAGTGAAAGTGTGGGGAAGTGGCGAAAGTCCCTCTGCTTCGCAAGCTGACTCTAAGCGCTTGCCCGCTTTCTCTTATGCCCTCGCTCCTGGAAAAGTAGCGAGAGTCAGCCTCGTTTTTCATCGCTCATACTTCGCGATTTGCTGATCTGCAAAGTCTGGTACCGGCCTTACATGCGACCAACTCTAAAATCAGTGGTATTATAGCACGGTGGATGGGGCTTTTGTGAGCGTTCGCAACACTCATCGGTTCGGCGAATAAGGGCGAGCTGGCGCGAACAAGATATGTAGGGCCGTAAAATATACCCTTTATCTCGGAAAACGAGGAGAGCGTCGAGTGCAGACCATACATCACAAGTGACGACGGCACGAAGAAAAGGGGGCTTTTTCTTTCCTCCTCCTTGGCCGTAGTCGGTGTGTGTGGTCTGCAGTCGGCGCTTTCCTCTGTTTTCCGAATAGAGGGCGCAGACATTGATCAACTTGGTCCATCACCGTGGCAAAATTTGAAAAGTGAAAACAGAGCCTTTAAACTTTAGATTGTATTGCATATTTTGTACAATTCACATAAATATTTATAACACAATATCACAGCAATGGGTAAACATAACATAGGCGAAAAAGTGAACTCAGGTCTATTATGTACAACGAAAACACTGTATACCCGAGCATAGTGCAAATCTTATTGGACTAGATCATATATAAAGCGTATATCAGTGGGTATCATTCAATTCGACCATCATGGGAGTGATCGAAGGTTTCTGTAGTCGAGTGGCTAGATTTTCTGTGGACAGCACCGCTCACTCGTTGAACTATGTTTTACCATTTATTTGTTTGGAAATTGTCGACAGGCTTGATTCAGCAAGTACTACTCTCATTTTCCGGCCTTCTTTACTGTGCCTCATGCCATAGAGGAAGTATATCACGAGTCCTTAAAGAAAATGTATTGTAGTGAATGCCGCTGAATTTCCGCCCGATCCAATCTATCCGCCTGCTAAAACGCGTAGCTTGTGTTTGTGAAAATGTGGCCGGGAGTCCGCAGGGGTGAACCGTCCGTTGGAATTCTCCCAACGGAAAGGTCGAGAAGGTTTCGTGATTCTCAGAAAGTGACTACTACTTCTTCTTCCCCCTCGCGTTGATCCCGCGCAGTCGCAGAGTCGTAGGAGAAGCGTGCTAGCCACTGGTGAACTTGGCGCTCCTCCGTGGTTACCCCCTCTCATCAGGATTAATCGTCTTTTGGGAGGATACTGAATTTGGTCGACTCCGCCCCCTTTAGGGCATCCTTCTTGAACGATCCCTCCAACGGTCGGCGATGCTCACAGTGAACCTGCTTCATTTTGACGGACGTCGAAATTCCTCCCTCCAAACAAATATAACCGTTCCGTTGGAATTTCCTGAAACTGCCCAAATTCCTAGAAAACTTCCCAGATCTCTTCAAAAATATAATCTTTATCTCAACTGCTACCTGCGGACCCTACGACTGCGCGGGGTCAACGCGAGGGGGAAGAAAGTAGTAGTAGTCACTTTCTGAGAATCACGAAACCTTCTCGACCTTTTCGTTGGGCGGATTGCAACGGGCGGTTCATTCCTGCGGACTCTATCCACTATTTTCACAATTTTCCACCCATTATTCACGTGCAAGGGTTTCCTTTAGCGCTCCCTAGATATGCCCTAAGAATTTAAACTGTGTTAACTTACCTTATGAACCATCCACACTAAAGAAACCGTACCCATGTGAGGTAGTCCAATAAATGGCCATCATAAAAAAACGTTTATACCGCAGTCCTACTGCATGGAATGAATCTGTGAACGAAAGGGCACCTGAAATATAGGAGCCCAGGTCTCAAGGGACCGAATGTTTAATTTTCTACGGACTCACTCGAAAATATAGATCAAGTGAATTTTGCTCATGTCCACAAATGAAGGAAAAAGCCAGAACAATCAATGTAGAGCTCACACCGAGAGAAATGAATCCTCCTTTAGTGAATATGAAACCTGGAATGTCAAATTATTATTTTGTGTGGGCTGCAGAAGTCCCTGTACAGATCACTGGGGCGGGGGGGGGTTGTGAAGAAGATGAGTGCGAGGAATTCGAACCGGAACCGATGTGGAAGAAAGGCAACTCGAACGGGTCAAAAACAGTACCGAAGAAAGAACGTACCTGTTCGAACCGTGAATGCGAGCCAGAAGTAGCCAAATATCAAAGTGATGACAGCTATGACAATCGATCTGCCATCAGGGAGGCTTTCCCAGAAATTCCGGAATGGCACCCATGCCTTGATTCTAGGCCCCGCCTAAAATGTGAACATTAAATCTGTGATAATTTTTCCCAGTATATTTCGGCCTAAGCATTCATAGCATTCATTAGTGAATGAAAGGCTGGTGATATGGTTTCCACAGAAGTCACTACATATTTGTTAATTCAATTTTCTTGACAAACATTGACTATGCTTTTCTTGACGGCTTGAGGATCTGTTTACTAAATTTTGAGAGTCAGGCATCGTCTTCACCCTTTTTCAGAAATTTCGATCCCCCTCTTGAAAGGGCTCGGTGAGAACTCCCCATCACCGGCCTTGGAGGGGGTCCGTCTATACAATCCTCCTCCCCCTCATCGCGCTGTTTCTATAGTACTTGGTTCAGAGACACACACGTTTTTGCCCACTTTTTACCACTCTTCCAACTGCTATCCCCAGCGGTGAATATGAATAAAGAGACCGCAAATGCTCTGATTTTGCCTATTTCACACTTCTTTCATAATTTCATCGAAATTATCAGGAACCCGTCAAAAGACTCCCTTGCTCGCAGACACGACCCCTTCAAAGTTCACGACTGACCTGGAAGAAATGGTTGACATTTGTCAGCCCTAAATACGATCCCCCTCATAATTGCGGGAATGACCACCCATTTAAACTGTTCGAACGGAAAGTTGACTCTGATCCCAGCTAACCCAGCCAAACCAGCCAGCCCCCCCATCCATCCGTAAGCGGGAGACTGCTCAAATTCATCTTGGAAAACAGGAAGAGTGATTTGCACGTGCGCTAAACCCGGCAGTTTGTTGCGTAAGAGAAATAAACTACACGACTTTCAAAGGGAACAGATTTTGTGACACTTCCCAAAAAGAGCTCAAGAGAGCTTCAGCCTTTGCAGCCTTTTGTTTGAGGAAAGAGCCGCCATCAGCACTACTTCTTATTGTCATCTATTGATCGTCGCTTCATTGTCTCTATTCAATATTACCAAAACCGTAATGGAAAGACTTCTATGTGTCCTACCATGAATTCCGGCTAAGAGCCTAGATTTCTGATACCAAGTGAAAACGGTCTCACCAGTGTCGAGCCTGTCCGAGTCGTCAATCGGAGCAGCTTGATATCGAAGGATTAATACGCAGGCTGTAACCATTGAGTAGGCCGAAAGTGTGCCAATAGAAAGGAAATCGACAAGTGTCTCCAAATCAAACACCAAAGCAATGACTGCATTCACGAGAGTAAAGACGATTAATGCATTGAGTGGAATCTGGAAATGTTGGAATTAGTAAAGCTCTCAGCCTCAATACCACTTGCTGTTACCTTGGTAAATCGGTTAATTGAGGCAAGAAACGAGAACAGAAGTCCATCGTCAGCCATTGCGTACACACATCGTGGGAGAGCAAAGATGCCACTCAACTAAACGCAAGCATAAAGAATATTGAGTAGTTGGAGAGATACTAGGAGCACGATAGGCAATTTCGAAAAAGGGTGACGGTATATTTTGACGAAAATCGGTAAACTGCGTAAAGCCTAACAGTCCGATTTTGGGGTGCGCCACGGATCCGATTTCCATTCAGATTGCGAAGACACTATATACTACACATACCGACCGCTATCGTGGCTTTAGGGTATGAGGGAAATACGGTACCCAGAGCGGCCCCATGAGGTTTAGCCAAGTCTGTACAACCTGCCCCTGATTTGATCCCGAAAAAGCGTGAACTACTATGTGACAACAATTGTCCCTACACCACCTTTGCCAATCTCATCCAATCAAACCCCTCTGCACTTGCGCATCAGTATCCACCTGAATCAGCTTCCCAAAGTATAGAGCCCCCTTATCAACGAGCTTTTTCGTTCCTTCGTTTTAAAGGTTCAAATGCATGACACGTCAAAGTCAGACATCGGCTTGAGAGATTTTGTGGTCTCAAGTCAAACTTGTTTTTAGGAAAATTTTGCGCAAAGCGCTTGAGAGAAGCTCAAAATTATAACAGATTCACACATGAATATTAAAAGTAAGGTTTTCCGTCTGCTTCATTATCATATACGGAATATTGAGTTATTAGGATATAAAGGATAAAGGATAAAGCATTTGCCGTTGATCAATCCCTTTTGGGATGCGGCACGCATTCTACTTCCATTTGTACATTCGCAGTGGCGTTTGAATGCGATGTGGCCTATACAATGACTTGCGGGGGCCAGCCGATGTACAAGTCAGTGTTTTTATCCTCCCAGACAAGTCTGGTACCAATTAACCGACCCCGGAGGGATGGAAGGCTTGGTTGGCCCGGGCGACTCACGACCCAGGATTTGATCCCGGACCGCTCGCGTGGTGAGCGCGCCACTTGTCACTACACCACTTCCGCCCAAATGCTATATTTGCCGTTTATTTGAACACTTCGTATAAGTCGATCTGAGTATCGCTACCGCTGTAGGATGATTTCTTTCTTTCGCAAATCAGTGAGGGTCAACCAATAACACGTTTCCAACATAAAATTGAGTGCTTGGCGCATTCCAGGTTTTGTTGGTAAGAAATTCTTGGCTAAATATCCTCTTGTACTCCTCCTTCTGATGATGCCGTCAAAAGAATGAAGAAAAAGGCAGCAACTAACCAGATTATTGAACATTCCAGCAAGCGCTCCGGCTGTGATGATGTACTTGGCCACGGTGGCACCTTTCGCGTCGAAGGCGTCGGCAAACGCAGCATCGGGATTGATCTAATTATCGTGCATTAATATTAGTAAGTCAGTGGCGGAAGGGAGAGATCCGACTGTTTAATTTTGAACACTGATTTTTTTATAACAGAGCAGAAATTACTTGGTCTATCAACCACAATAAGCAATTACGGGAGAATGCGCGTTGCCTGCAAAGAATATCCTACTCCCTGTGGCACCCTCGGCAAACCAGTGGACTTAATGGCCACTACATCTACTAACATCGCCTACTGTTCCAGCAATCTACTTTGCCTATGAGGATCAATGAACAAGTGTGATTGTTCAGGAGGATCTCGCCTAGGGTCCCTTCACACGGTCTCCTCGACGTTGAGCTCCACCTAAGCTAACATCTTGGAAATAGTGATCGTGCAATTCTTCGTGTGGCTGGTAATGAATTTCCTAATCCTTCACATGTAGTCAAAAATAAACTCAAAAAGCTACGTTATTCATGAAAGTTAGGCTGAACCTACTTCTTTATAGGGAAGCATGAGTGTGAGGGATCCAGACATGACGACGTAGACAAATGTAACCAAACCTAGACATCCGAAGGTTGCCAGTGGAATTGTCCGTCTGGGATCTGAAAATAGTGCAACGCTGAAATTTTGAAACTGATCAACACTCGTTAATTTATGGAATTTTCTCCGCCAACGAGAGTACATGATGTCCTTCACAACATAACAGGGAATGATCCCTTTTACGAAGCAGCGATGGTAGCCATAATTTCCGTCTGTCTCCCTCCACTGCTGTAGGTTACCTTCTGAGTCTCCCTTTTCGCGAAGAACGTGCTGCAGATTGCCAGATCGTGGGCCGTAGCCAGGTCCAGGACCCTCTCTCCCTCGGCGTTCCTCACTCCTATCCCTCTACCTCCGTGCACCCTTTCCCGGCCTCTCTGTCACTGCCGACGTGGCCATTCAGATCACCTGCTATAGTGAGGTGGTCGCCCTCTAGAATTCCTTGAGGAAGCAGAGAAGGTGTGAAAGACTCTGCTTTGAAACTTAAAGGAATCTTCCGCGGAAAAAGCTCCGCCTCCATTACCACAGAAAAACGATACCCCTTAGGCCCCTAGCCTCATGAGCATAGCAAAAAGAACGGAACATAAGCGTTAGTTTCGATAATACTAATCCTACACACAAGACAAAATGATCACTCTTTCCGTGGAAGATTCCTTTAAGGTATCGTTTTCTGTGGTAATGAGGGCGGAGCTTTTTCCGTGGAAGATTCCTTTAATTAGCCAACAGATGAATGAGGTGCTTGTATTGGAGCGGCGTCCACTTAGTACCATGTAGCCATAGGATCGAAGCCTGGATCGACTTCCACCCACGCCTATATCTCTCGGGACTGATTAAATTGGCACCATATTTGTCTGGGAGGAAACTAAGCAGTACGAAGGTTAGCTTTGTATGTCACTGTATAGATAAGTTGCGTCCAAAAGCAATCACGAGCCTGATTGAAGCAAAGTCAAATAGTTTCGCCCGACCATCGATGCTATTGTACTTTCTTCTTTTTTTTAGTACGGTTAGTTGATAAAAAATAGAAGAAAAAATCACTCTTTGCTTCTTCACCAGCCGTAGCGAGAGCTTCAAAGCCAACGAAAGCAAAGAAACAGGTAGCGGCACCGGAAAGTGTTCCACCAAGCCCGAATGGGAAGAATCTGAAGAGATAGAGTAGAGGTGTAAGTTGCACGGTATTTGTTAAATCAACAGACTGACCTTGATTTTCCATTTTCATCGGTTCCTATCCAAAGTGAGAAATTAGCAAATGTCAAACCGTAAATGGTTATAAATGCAGTCACCTAAACATAAGCGGTTGCTCAGCTATATGGACCTGTTTGAGGTACATGGACCTAGTTGAGAACATTCTCCAGATTCAGGCTACTTTAAAGGTCCTATGGCCCGTATTTATTTTTACACGCACACCGACTCATGCTGAAATTGCATCGTCTAGGTCTCTAAAATGAACGCGATTGTTAAGGTGCAAGCTTTTGCGCCTGAAAATATTGGCGAATTCGGTGGTGTTGGTCGGCCATTGGTGAAAAAAAAACAAAGGGAGTTGCAAGAACTTTCTAAAGCACTTTGCTTGCTGGAAATATATTCGGAAGGACTTGGTTAGTAGGAGTGTGCACTTCTCATTGGTGTACCTTTCCCTTCACCGTGTTAAAGCGGGTTCTAGCCAATAAGAATTTCGCAGCTCGTTAAAAGCTCCGCCCACAAGTTGGTTGCTTCTGAAGTTTTCGGCGCTTCCATTTTCGGAGACAATCATCCGTGCCTGGCTTATCGCCAAAGGACCTTTAAGGTAACGTTCGCATCGCGATTTGCGGCAACAAAAGCATCATTTCCAGAACAAAATATTTTTTGGAAATGGTGATAGCAATAGAGAGCGTTGCTCAAACTTGCTGAGTGTATTTGTCTTCCATTCTTTGTTGAGAAGATAATGCTGCTCAGTAGACATCAACTTACCAGTAGGTTAAGAATGACAAAGGCAGTATTGACACCAGCAGACGACTTCGTACCTAGAGCCACTATGAGAGCGGTAGCCCATATGACCAAAAATGACATCACATCAGGATAGCGGCCGAAGAAGCCTTCTCCCTAAATTGCAAGGGAGTTTTGTCACAGTATCATAGTACTGAAGATTGCATACCGTCCGTTTAAACTATTTAAAGGCAAAGTTTGGGCTCAGACCCACCTAAGAAGCCCTTACCATGGCTAGAAGTGCTGGTACGCAAGTGCAAAGGTAGCGCCACCTTTCTACATCGAAACGCGTCACTAGGACCCTAGGCCATGGACTTCTAACAGACTCCACCAAACTTAACATGGTCCGCCCACCGTTCGATATCTTGTCTGCGTCGCACGTTGATCTGCTATGCTCTCTCTTCTCGGACTTCTCTACCGCTCTCCGCGCTCACATTATCTCTCATCTCCCTGCCGGCCTTTTGAACTTCTCCGCAGCGTAGAGCAAAAGGCTCGTATTTCCTGTGTATTTCAGGATTTTTTTCCTTTTTTCTCCACTGGCGGTCCACCCCACCCCTACTTTCACATTTGAGTGGAATTACCTCATCAATCTGATCTTGAATCTTGCCTATAAACGGATGGTCGTATTTGCGATTTGGGAGGGGGTCGCACTGGGGAATGAGGCTTGACCCTTGAGGCAGATGGTGTTGGGGGCGTATCGAGACACCCCTGAGAGGGGATGGGGGTGAAAACTCTTGAAAAAGTGGGAGCGCAACGGTTGACCCTGGGTGAGTGAGAAAAGGGGAGGGGTTGTAGGGTACAGGGTCAAGCCACGTGCGGAGCGAAGAAGTTCAACCTAAGTGGATGGGTATTCTTTGAGAAAGAGCGACTCTAGGACGGATTCAGCTTACCGAACTAAGTGTTCCTATTGTGCTTAGCGTGAAGTTGCTGATGGCACGATTCACCAGCACATCGAGGTAGCCAGACCAAGATCTTGCGACAGCTGAAAAGTCGTAACAGGCCTTTTTGAACTAATTAGTGCAATAATCGGAATAAGGATGGCAGGATACAAAAAGGCCAAGCCCTGACCTGCATTTCCAATCATGTACTCGAGTATGACAGTCCAACCAATTCCAAATGCGCACAATTCGCCCACACCGACATAGGTGTAGGTGTAAGCGCTGCCAGCTCGAGGATATCTACGAGAATGTGCGGGTCACATCAGAAAAAGAAGCTGTACAGAGAACTGGTCAACCAAAAACGGTATAAATCTTGATTTCACCAGTGCGGAGCTCACCTCGCACCAAATTCGGCATAGCTGAATGCGGACATCAGGGCAGCAAACCCTGCACAAAGAAATGATATGACGAT